AGAATAGTAATCCAGAATCTTTTGATATACAATAGCAACTCTTTGCCTCAGGCTAGGTTTAAGGGTATAAATGATCCCCCCCGATCTCAGGCACATTGGATCTGGTTAGATTTCATGGTGACACTGTGTCACTATGAACTCTGACTTGGGTCCTGTCTCTTTCCGTTGCCCTTGCTCTTTTCATAATTCTTAAGTCTATGTATCTTCATTCATCGTTGGAGCAGCCTCCTTCAGGTAATTATCATCATTAGAAAGCCTTCTGTTCACTATCCAAGCTAACTCCTTTATTCCTGAGTTCTTGTGTGTATCAGTGAATGCTAGAGTGTCTTTGTATGTTTGAATCCCCAAATAAATTACAGTTCTTTGTAAAGCTTTGTCTCTATCAGTCTATTCCCTAGCCACCTCCTTAAACATAGGATAAAAGATCCCATTGAAGACTTGGACTTTAGTAATTCCCCAGGTTCATTACACATTTGCCAAATTTCTTTTATATCTAAACTCCAAACATGGTTATAATTTATGATGCCTTATAGTGTGGAACAGCACAGAGCTGATAAGAATGGGGATATGTTGTCAGTCCTGTCCTAGACTCTTTGCTGAGTTTCTTCTCTCCTCCTGGCAGCTGGAAACGAAACGCCCTCAGCAGAGTGGTGAAGAAGGAGAAGAGCTCAATCCTTGCCAGCTGCTCCTCCAAACACATGGAATCCCCTGTGTAAGAAGTAAGGGAAAGACAGCAGGTGCATCATAATAAAATTACTCATAATAACCATGCTTTTTGGAAGATCCATTCACGTCAACAATAGGCTGGCATACTTGTTGTTATTGTGGGCCTTCAAGTCATTTCTGATTTATGGCAACCCTAAGGTTACCCTATCATGGAGTTTTCTTGGCAAGATTTGTTAAGAGGAGGTGTGCCCTTGCCTTTCCCTGAGGTTGAGAGCATGTGACTTGTCCAAGGTCACCCAGTGGGTTTCATGGCCAAGCGGGAATTAAACCCTAGTTTCCAGAGTCATAGTCCAACACTCAAACCACTACACCACACTGGCTGACATAAATAGCATACATCAAACATAAATCAAGATTAGCATCCTGTCCAGTAATTATGGGAGCATAAGTCAAACTTAAGAATTTCATAACTTGGAAGAATCACCCTTATGGTCAATAACAGCCCAACATGATCCTGAAATCTTACATTTTCAGCCAGGCAGCACCCTAAAGAAGGGCATCCAGGGCACTGCAGATCCAGGTGCTGGGAAATGATATCTGTCAAGGAGCATGTTGAGAGAAGCAGTTGTGATTTCTCTCCATCTGCTTGTTCTCAATGCACCCCATCACCAGGACAGCACTGCACTTGTTATTTCCCAGTGACCTGATTAGCAGTACCTTGCAAACCTTGTCTGGCTGAAAATATTGGATTTTAGGGGATGGCACCATTGGACTTAATTATGATGGTGGAGCTTTATTGTCATAGTTATGTCTGCAATATTCACCCATGCACTCTTTCTCTCTTCCCTCCTCCTCTCTTCGGTCATTGCAAAGGGAGTAACACACTACTTTGCTCACTCAGTGACCCTCAAACCCTCAAGATTCACCCATTTCCTTTTAGGGGGATATATAGTCATTCCTCTAGATTCGCTGACTTCCCATTTGCGCTTTTGAATTTCCATGGATGGGAAGCCAGGAGGGACAAAATAGTGCCCGCACCTGTGGCATGTGTGCAGAGCCACGTGTAAGAGCACTGACATTATTTTAATGGGGCCTCAAATATTTGTGGGTTTTCCAATTCACAGGGTCCAGAACAGATCCCCGTGAATCGGGAGGGACGACTGTACACAATTATAGTGCTGGGTTTTTTTAACAATAAATAATAATGTATACCCCATGTTTTCTTCAAATATGAGACCCAAAACAGGTTACACTGTAAGTTACAACAAAACCTGTAGTTTGATTCCACTTTAATTGCCATGGCTACATCCTACAGTATCATGTTTTTTGTAGTTTGGTGAGGAACCAGAACTCTTTGTCTGGGAATTGTAAACAAACCTCCCTAAACTGCAAATTCCAGGATTCCACAGGATGTTGCCTTGGTAGTTAAAATGGAATCACACTGATGTAATAGTATGAAGGGGCCCCATGTCCCTTGAACCAGGTGCAGAACAATAAAGACCTTCTCTAGGATGTCCTAGGGGTCTGCCAGAGGTCCCAGACCCTAATATTGTTGTTATGCATCTGGCTATATGCACATAAATGAAAATTTCTGTGATGTCTCCTACTCTCCATTGGCCAATACATCACCATGTTGGGAGGATCTCTGTTTAGGCAGAACTTTACGCTGATTCTCCTGAGACAGAATCTCAGCCATTGTCTTGCTTTGAATTTGGTTTGGTTTGGTTTGGTTTGGTTTGGTTTGGTACCAGGGTTGGGGAATTGTGGTGGGTCCAGGAGCCACTTTTCTGTCCTGGGACCCTCTACAGGCTGCACAAACTATACAAAGAAAAACATAAGCAAAAGTACACAGAAATTGGTTTTACAAATGCAGCTCCCCACCCCAACCTATTTAATAGAGACAATTCCAGTAGCCCCCTCTTTGGGGTAGGCAACAAGAAAAGCCCTATTTGGGAAGTCTGGAGGAGACAAAGGTCTCAAAAATATCCTTGGGGCTACATGTGGTCACAGGGCCATGTTTCGCCCACATGAGCCTTGAAGAATATTCTGTCTCATTGAAACAAACCAAGACATACAGTAGAACGTCTCATCCATATTTACCTGATCCAAATAGCTGAAATTCCTCTCTGGCTACAAATTTTCCACTCTTGTCCAAAAAATGATTTGGGTTGAATTTTTCAGGTGTTTCCCATTGCTCGGGATCAAGAAGAACAGAGTTCAGATTTGGATTAATAAATGTTCCCTGAAATGGAGGAAAGAAACTGAATCAGAATGCATGTGTTTAAAATTTGAACGTTATTGTCACAATGCTAGTAATTCCACATTTCTAATACATGTAGCTTTCATCCACATTGATTGCATTTCTATAATAAATGCTGCACAATTGTATATGTGAACTAATAATCAGTAGGACAAATCTGATTTCATCAGTGAAGAAGAAAAATACACTATACTGTAGGGTTTTAAAAATCCTTTTAATTGCATTTTAATGCACTTCAGTTCAATTTTAATTGCTTATAACCATAAGTCATCAATATAAAACAAAGAGATCATACAAATACCAAACAATTAAATTATAAAATATATAAGGTATAATATAAAAATTCAAACACCATTTCTACTTCTACTAAACTTGTAAGAAAGAATCAAATGTACAAGATATACAAAAGAAAGGCATAAAGCAGTGAAAACTTCAAACTTTGGGGAAAGCCTCATAATAACAAGCAAGGGCTTTAGCTAAGGCCATTACAAAAGTTGCAGCTCTTCTAGTAATACTAGAATCTTTATTTAAAAGCAAAAATTCTAATTTTTGGGTGAATGGACCATTTATATCTATTAGGTAACAACCCTATAAGGTATTTTTCTCTGATTCCCTTTGACAAAGCAATAGCAATAGCAATAGTAATAGCATTTACATTTCTATACTGCTTCATAGAGAACTAAGGACTCTCTAAGTGGTTTACAATGTGTAAGCCAATTATCCCCAACAAGCTGGGGGCTTATTTTACTGACCTACAAAAGGATGGAAGTCTGAGTCAACCTTGGAGCCCCGCTTGGGGTCAAACTCACAACCTTCTGGCTGCAAGACCAGCATTTAACCACTGCATTACTAGGATGGAAGACAATTCAACAACTAGCAAGGGAGGTCCTCAGTTTTACTAAAGTGTTCAGCTGTAAGGTTGCTCTTCCTATGCTTATTTCTTTGGAACAAGGTCACCCCTTCTACATGCCTCACCACCCAAGGGCCCCTTCAC